CTTCCTTCCTTCCTTCCTTCCTTCCTTCCTTCCTTCCTTCCTTCCTTTCTTTCTTTCCCCTCCTCCCTTCCCCCCCCCCAATCTGTCTTATTGCTTTGTCTTCAGGAATATCACTTTGGCAAATCTGTGGCAAAAGTATTGGATTAGGGAGAGTCTTTAGGCAGGGAGACCTAGGAGAAGGCTGTTGCAAAAGGTTTAAAAAAATAGGACATTTATCCTGGGATTGGGTAGATTACATTAGTAGTTGTAAACATTTGGCCATCAACACATTATCCTTACTTTGGTGCTACCATTTAAAGGAACAGTAATGGACAAGGCAGCTTTCTGCTACAAGCCCATAGAACATTTTTCCGTTTGAAGTAGAAACTAATCTAAATGTTGATACTTTCTCTGTATGAACAAGGTAATTGAAAGCACCTGGCTGAGGTGCCACACATGTGACTGGGAATAATAGCAGATTCTGGAAGCTAGAAATGCAGCACTCAAAGGAGCTCCTTCCTTCCTTAGGCTTGGATTTTGTAGTCAAGACCCTTCTCCCCTTAGAGCCAAGACAGTTGGATAAATTAGCCAGATAGATGATAAGATTAAGTGGGTCTCAAAGTAGTTTATCCAGGCCCTTCACAATTTGCTAAAGGGTAAATCTGACATATTATTTTAGAGTCCAGAATTCTATGTGCCTGGTTCTCTTTATATCCTTAGAACCAGGATGAAGTGATGAGCTTGAACATCTGGGAAGTGGGTTAACCTGTTAGGACTTTAGTTGGGAGTCATATCTTTACATCTACAAATGCTTAATAGGAAAATGATACCGTTTGTCACAAAGAAGACAAAAGTGAATTGGAATTAGGAAGTTATTCTTAATCTTTTGGGCATTGTGAGCCTTTTAATCACAGGACAGAGGATGAATTCCAGTGGGAGTTTTGTTCTTTATGTGTCTGTTCCTATGGGGGGAGCATCAGCATCCGTGAGCTTCTTTAAAAGAAGTGATGAATATCAAACTGTGTTCTTAATGAGGGAGACCATATGAAAGCAGGTGATCTACTTACTGAATTTCTCAGTTGTTGCTGATGTCATGATTCTTTATGTAAAGAGCTATATTATATTCTTATCACCAAAGTTTAAATATAAAACATCTCCATTGTAAATTTTTTTTTACCAGAAATTTGTAATAAGCAGTGCCATAAACCACTCCTTCCCCGCTCAACCATCTTCCCTCCCCACAAAGTAAGGCTATTGAACTAGTCCAAGTTAGAGCCTAATCTTGGGTAGTAGCTGTGTGAATGGAGAAAAAGGGTTGGGTATGAGATGTTCTGGAGATAGAATTAGCAAGACTTCAGCAACTGATTAGGTATGTGGGTGGATAAGAGAAAATGACAGGTTGAGAGATGACTGAGGTTTTTGAACCTGTGTGATTAGAAGAATAATAATACCCTCTATGGAGATAGGAAATAAAAGTGAGAGGAGATGTGGTTCTAGATCCAAACAGTTTACTGGCCTTTCTCCCTGTCTTTCTTCCTTTCTCTTCCTAACTTTTACACATACATTCACAACTTTGAACCTAGGGTAGGATTGGGAGGTACTCCAGTAGATTCTAGACGGTGATGCTTTATATGTGAAACTGGGGATTATAAATCTGTTTAGGTTGAATGTAATGGGGGAAAAGGGATCTGCTCTTTAGAATACATTTCAGAGGATATTAGAAGGATTCTTGTTTAGGATAGAATGAGAGAACAGAGAGAATTGGAAATTTTATTTCTTTTTTTCTTTTTTTCCAGATCAAATGATTGATAAAACAAAAGTGGAGAAAACTGAGGCCAAAGCTACAGAGTTGGAAAAGAAGGTGATTATGAAGAGCCAGAGAAGGTTTACTTAAAGCACTTCCATCTTCTTTTTGTCTGAGAGTTAGTCTTAGTTGCCTAATCCACTAGTTTGCTCTTTTCCTCCATCCCTACCTACATATCTACCCCTCCCCCTTCCCCAGTCATTTTGGTGAGGTTGGCACACAATTTGGGTCCATGGAAAGAGTCCTGTCTTAGGGCCTTATTTAGCTGCTTAGTTTAGAAAGCATCATGGGTATGGATAAGTAGAAATAGTACTGTTCTTATACTGTTTTCTTTCCTGGGCCATCAACACAATAGATATGACAAATGGTTGACCCTAAATAACTGCTCCCTTTGGTAACATTGGCATTCCTAGTTTTCTTCCTTTGGAACAATAAGGTCCTGAATAGGACTGAATTTTTTTTTTTTGGTGG